GCATCTACTTAAAATAAAGTCAACTTTTTATGTTCTGTATGTTAAAATAATATGTGTAGTATATCTATGTAGTAAAGCTCAGAAATGTTGCTTGTGTCCACTCTAGTTGCTAATGACAATGCTCCTGAATATGCGCTGCGGCCGGCCTTCTTGTCCACCTTTGCTTTGGCAACCGACCAGGGCAGCAAGCTGGGCTTGTCCAAAAATAAGAGCATCATTTGTTACTACAACACATATCAGGTGCTTTCTTTGACATAAGACACATTTGATCTGCTAGTTACTCAGAATTTCTTATATTAACGTATGCTGTTTATCATTGGCAGATTGTACAGTTCAACCGATTACCCTTAGTGATAAGTTTCATCGCAAGTAGTAACGCTAACACAGGTGAGTATTTCTCTGTCACAATGAGCCATTTTTACTTTAGAGATCAAAATTAAAGAAGTTGTCACTGCTTAGCCGTATTTGATTTACCCGCTAGTGTGGTATAAATCAAAGAGGGGGTTTGACCCTCCTAATTAATGCTTAAACTTCCTAAAAGATATCAAAACTAGATGTGTGTGGGGTCTGGGAAGTAGTTTTCACGTATCTGTATCTGGAATAATAATAATAATAATAAGTTAATATTAATATTAACTCATCCTATAGGTTAATACTAACTTCTAATCAGAAAAAAACAAATCTAGCCCACAGTAAATCTTCAAAATATGCTGTTTCTTGTAAATTCTATCTATATTCTGTCTACATGTAGCCTAATAGATAAGTCAAATTAAACTAGATGGAAGTTGCACAGTAAACTGTATGTGCAATCTTTTATTATCATATATTTATTGGAGCTGGAATAAAGTTATCCCGGTTCAGCAAAATACCTGTTTTATACCAAAAACATGTTGTTAATAGTTGTTTGCTGAAATAGCCCATCACAGGTTTACTGTATGCAAAAGTCTATTTATTACTCATTAAAAACACAGAAAGTAATTTTTATTAATAAACGAGATGTCATTAAAATATATGAATTTGGTTCACTGAGGCATGCATGTGTAGGCTATTATCAAAACAGAAAAAAAGCAGACCCCCGATAATCAGATAATTTAAACACTGGTGTAGATCATTAAAACCAAATAACGAACAAAAATGTATTAAAACGTAAAATGTTTATGAATCTGCCATTTCTGATCTGCACTGTTTGATGGATGTTCTGTGTACATTACAGTAACCAGGGTTCTTACGGATGCTGGAAGTCATTGGAAATGCTTCAATTTTAATTAAGTGTTGTGGATTTGGGATAAATGTATTTAATTAAGTGTAATTATGTTGCTTTCATAATAAGGTGTTACTAAATAGGTAACAATGATTTAATCTTTAAATAAAATAAAGAAATATTTTTGCTTTAGCACATGGGTCTCAAACTCAATTCCTGGAGGGCCGCAGCTCTGCACAGTTTTACTCCAATCTTAATCAAACACAGCTGATCTAGTAGAGTCTAGGGCTGCTTCTTAATATGCGTTCTTTTCTGTATTTGCGGTCTTGTGTCCTCGTGAAACGTCATCAACCCTCGCCAAGGATGCATCGAGAGGTGACTTATGCAAACTTGCGAAGCTCAAGTATTCCAGAATGCATTGCAGCTAAACCAGCAAACGTTAATGGTGGAGGAGAAAACCCACACGGTTTTAAAAGTACTCCTTTAATGTGTCACAAAATAAAGTTTTAACAGTTTTTCAGGCGAGTGTAGTTGTTTTACACTCGAATCGGCAGTTTAATCACAAAGATAGCGCGTCTTTGACGATGTGCCTCAGCTTATGCAGACTTCGACTCCCAGCCTGCCAGCAGGAGCTCCGCCATCACCTCCCCCGCCAAGAGCAGCCTTACTTTGGCCAGTCCATCTGGGATGTACCGCTGGATCTCATCAATCCATTGTAGTTAAAACATGATATTTAATACATCTTGTGTATATCTAGTGGACAGTATTTGGTCTTTAAAATCTATTATTTGTTATCAGGTGTATTATTTTGGCAGTATTATTTTGTTACCTTTTTATAATGGTCTTTAATTATGTTACCGTGTTGTACGCTGTTTGTCTTTGTTTACAAAATTGTTTGACCATAATCTTTATTTCTTGTTGTGTATGTATTTATCTCTTATGTATATACTTGTATAATTACCATTGTAGTTTATCAAATCTGATAATTAAAGACACGTGTCTAATAACACCTTTTACTTCACAGTTTTATGAATTTATGTTTGCATTTTCTTAAATCAAAAATGTAGATTTGTAATATTAATATATTAATTATAGGGTCGTGCTTTATATAATTGAATAATTGTTTTTGCTAATGCACAGTGAAATCGATGACTCCACGGTGAGGCAAGTGTCGTGATAAAGTACACTGCCGTTCCATTAGAAGAAGTACCCAACTTGTGGCCTTGCGTCCTCAGGAGTTCGTTCTTCTAGTCTGAACTTGGCAAGTCTGAACTTTGTGTACTTGATAATGAGAAACAGCCAGTCTTAAACATCTTGATTAGTTGGATCAGCTGTGTTTGATTAGGGTTTAAGCAAAGCTGCGGCCCTCCAGGAATTGGGTTTAAGACCTGTGCTTGAGCATTAAATGAAATCTCTGGAGTCCATGCCTGCAATCCGTCTGCCTAAGATGTGAATAAAGTACATGTAAGGGTCCCGTGAAGTGCTTTGAAATGTGCATTTTTTATTTGATGTTTGACATGATCTCAACTGAAAAATGAAGAGAGTGGGACATAGTTTCTCCCCTTTTAAAAGAAAAAACAGCCAATAGTGATTCGTTAAAAAAAAAAAAAAAATTGTTAGCTCTGCCAGTGAGAGGGATTGAGCTCAAATGCATTAAATGAGAAGCATCTTGAAGGAGGAGGGGCATGTCAGATACTAAAGAGCATTTGATTGGTCAAGATTTGATGACAAACTGACTATGAGGTGGCATGGAAAAAAACAAACCTTTTAGGAATTGCAAACTGCAAAGCTTTGGATGTTTCTATCAGATTTATATCTTCTAAACGCGTTTCCTTAAAACTAACAGACTGAAACTAACATCTAATAAAGTTTATTTTCATTTCACCAGACCTTTAAAAGACTAAATGACAGTTATTCAATGTTGGGCTTGGAACTATTAATATCAGTTGAATGATATGTTTTCCTCTTTGTTTTTCTTCTGTAGGATTGATCTTCAGTCTGGAGAAGGAGCTGGTTCCTCTGATTGAAGAACTTAGGCAGGTGGTGGAAGTGGCTTAGCAGCTGTTCATCTCAGACCACCTGAATGATAAGAGAGCCACTTTCCAATCTGAGGTCCTGGTGCTCGAGTTCATGCAAACACATCTGTACATATGTATTGTTGGCTGGCTGTTGTTGTGGATGCTCCTGATGCTGTATGTATTTTATGAATGTAACCTGCTCATTTTTGTCTCATCCTAATTAATAAATTTGTCTTAAGTGTTCGTTTACAAAAAATAAAGTGTATTTAATGACATTGTGCACTTTTTTCTTTGCTCCCAAACAACACGAAAAAAAAAAAAATTTTTTTTGGAGAATTTAAATGGGGTGACAGTGGCTCTGTGGTTAGCACTGTCGCCTCACAGCAAGAAGGTCACTGGTTTGAGCGCCAGCCGGGTCAGTTGCCGTTTCTGTGTGGAGTTTGCATGTTCTCCCTTGTTGGTGTGGGTTTCCTCCGGGTGCTTCCCCCACAGTCAAAAGACATGCACTATAGGTGAATTGTGAATGTGTAAGGATGTTTTCCCGTACTGGGTTGCAGCTGGAACCACATCTGCTGTGTAAAACATGCTGGATAAGTTGGCGTTTCATTCCGCTGCGGCGACCTCTGATGAATAAAGGGACTAAGCCAAAGGAAAATGAATGAAAGAGAATTTATAATTTTTACTTTGGTGATGTCCAGCATTCTACTGGGACGACATTTTTGTAGATCATGCTTCAAAATTTAGCACTTCTGTTGACCCAGAATCAGATGTGTTCATGGTTAAACACCTGAAACTGTGCTTAAAACGGAAAAGGTTTATATTACGACATAAGTAATAATAACACATATGACATATTTATTATAAATAGGACTGGCAACAAGTAGGACATCATACGCCATCATACTGAACAGGAAAAGTACTCCAATTTCCACTTTGTTGTATTTACTCACGTAATCACACACAAAGAATTTAAAATGTGCTTTAAATAAAGACTGACAGGAAACTTAGTCATTGTGACATCATATTATATTAATATATGATTTAAACTTGACTTCTGGTGATTGCCTATAGGCTACAAAATTAATTACAGATATGATTCAGATTATCTTAATGAACAAACTATATAAGAATCATAAACAGTTTTTGAGACTATGTATATACCAGAATCAGAGAGTGAAACCTTTTTAAGACACTTTCCATACATTTTAAGACCTTATAAACACTTTTCAACCGGAAACACTGGCGAGATTTTAACTGTGTATTTACTAAATATTAATGTATAAAACTACTCCAAAATTAAAACATTATTCATATACTGAATAAAAATCTATTAAATCTAGCTAATTCATAATATGCAATGCAGAATAATAGTGTTGCCTTGGTTACTGCAGTAAATAAAGCAGCATGATGTCAAATCTAGTAGGATTACATTGATTTCATAAACCAAACAGCATACTGATGTTCGCAGATTTAATTAAGGCAAACAACAATACATGACGTAATCAAAAATGATATAAAATTTAATACCTTGCAAAATACTTTTTAAGGGGCTTAAATTTCTTTACATTGATTTAACAACTTTTAATACTTTTTAAGACACCACAGCCCCCCCTTTTATTGGCTGCAGAGCTTATTTTCTGCAAAAATGCCAGTGGGAATATTTTAAAGGCAGAGCCAGACAGAATCTGCCAAAAATGTCTGCGCACAAGTTTAGCAAAAATCTGCAGAATGATTTTGGGAGCATAGTAACTAAAAACCTAAACCATCAAATACAAAACCAATCACTTTTTAGCTTTTATTTAATGTTTACAATGCAAATACAATTAGATCCGCTTGTTTGGTAAACGCAAGTCCTTCTAACAGTATAATATAGCTGCTAAAAGACAGAAAATCGTACTTAACAAACTCTATTATAGACAAAACATTTAAACATTTGCATATTTTTCAATCATACTGCTGAAATGAATATAAAAACTGAATAAATATATATTTACACACATTTACACTAGTAAATAAAGACTTGATGGGATCTGCAGATATTTCTGCGCAGATTCTATATGGATTTACTTACAGATGTTGTTTCAGTGAAACCAAGAGTGATGGACACTTCCAGTATGGCTTAAAAATGCATCATCATTATAAGGTCTTATTCTAAAAGCATTGTTACTTCCGATGTACTGTATATATTAAGGGTTTATGTAGATATGTTTGGTAGCAGACACTTATTAAAGGAACAATTATCTTCATGCTGCAAATATATCTTGGGTTGGAGAAGAAGAAAAAAATTCAGTATCCATAAACACAAACAAAAACCTTCTGTCAGTTAGACTGCCAACACAGCTTCCAGACTCTTTATAACTGCTCCATTGGAGATCACAGGGCATCAGATGCAGTTGTTGTATCTTGTGTAATCACAAACACAACTGAACATGACTCTTATTTTGCTCCAGTTTTTCTTCTTGGTGAACATCATCTACCTTTCTTTACCTGTGACTGGAAATACAAGAAGATGGAGGAACAGACAAGAAAGAGAGATGTTTATAATTAATACTATAAACCTGCTTGCTTGGTTTAAATCATAGGTCTCAAACTAGATTCCTGGAGGGCCGCAGCTCTGCACAGTTTTGCTCCAACACTAATCAAACACAGTTGATCCAACTAATCTTCTTTGTTTAATGGCAGTCAGCAACCAACGTTAAGGTGCATTACCGAGTCTGAGTCAACTACCTCCCAAATAACACACACAAACAACTCTCATCTTTTAAATTCTGTTAATTAGCCCAGTTCTTCTTAGATGATTTAATAAACTTTCATTGTTATGTCCCCAAAGTATACAGTTGAAACCAAACGTTTACAAACACTGTATAAAAAGGCACATGACCAGTTAAAAAAAGTCTGATGTTAATGTGACTAAACTTGTTCTCTTTTAGGTAAGTTAGGATTGTCACATTTGTTTCTTTTATGCTTAATAGTAGAATAGTGAGAGATATTTTTGAGAAATTGTTATAACTTTCTTGAAAATCAAGTTTACATACAACAAGAATATTATGCCTCTGAAAAAGCTCAGATGATGGTTTCAAGTTTTTGGATGTTTCTGATTGGCTAATTGACAACATTTGAGTTAATTGGAGGCACAACTGTAGAATAGTATTTAGGAAAACCTCAAGCACACTGCTTCCTTGTGTGACAACATGAGAAAATCAACAAGCCAGAATCAACAAAAAAGCCAGATTAGAATTTGCTAAATTACACTGGGAAAAAGAATAATTTTTAGAGAGACATGTACTGTGGTCTGATGGAACTAAGATTGAACTGTTTGGCCATAATGACCAGTGTTACATTTGGGGAACAAAGGAAAAGCTTACAAGCCTAGGAAAACCATCCTAACTGTGAAGTATGGGGGCGGCAGCATCATGTTGTGGAGCTGTTTTTCTGCAGGAGGTACTGGTTCACTTCATAGCATAGACGGCATCATGAAGAAGAACATTATGTAGAAATGCTGAAGCAACATCTCAAGACAACAGCCAGGAAATTAAAACTTGGCCACAAATGGGTCTTTCAAACTGACCATGACCCTAAGCATACTGCCAAATTAGTTAAAATGTGCCTTAAGGTCAACAGAGTGAATGTTTTGGAGTGGCCATCACAAAGCCCTGACCTCAATCCTCATCAATTTACCTGGGGGCCGCAGGAGGCAAAGTCTGGGTGAGGCTGGGCCGCATAAGGGATCAAATGTCATTATTAACAGTTTTAATTATTTCTTCTGAACATGAAGTGTCCTGAACATTAATAGAACATTGAGTGAAGATTATGAACAGTTCTTCTGAACATGGCATCTTTTGCCTACTTCTTGCTGCCAGAGACTTGACAGCGCTTCTTCTCACAAATCTGAACCACATTTGGCTTTAGAGCGGAAGCAGTTGAGACCCTCAGTATGGCTTGAAGATGATCATCATTAAGTCTAGACCTGTACTTTGACTTATTGAAATCCTAGGGAAAAAAGTGGGGGAACTCACTCCAAACTTCCATTCCCTCACCTAAAAAAAGGCGTATATATGTATAAATAAAACACCCCCACCCCACTCCAGTCACATCAGTCTGTACCAGTCTGTATCTACCTATAATATATATAAGATGCAGGCTGTAGCTAGGTAGGTGGCAGGCTGCAGATAGGTAGCTAAGTGGCAGGCAGGGGCGGGAACAGCTTATCTTGGTTCTGGCCGGCGCGAGTTCCCTCCTAAACACTTCCCGCCCGTCACAGCGTCTAACAAAGGGGCAGGGTGCGTGGTGACGTCACCGGCATCCCTGCCCCTTTGTTTACACGGCTGGCGGGGAATGCCAGTGACCGCTGTGTACGGATAGAATCAGCGGAGCGGGGAGCGCTCTCTCTCCCCGCTCCTCTGATTCTGTCAGTGTACAGCGGTCAGCGCGGGCCACAAAATATTGCACTGAGGGCCGCAAATGGCCGCGAGTTTGAGACCCCTGCTCTAGACAATGTGTGGACAGTGTTGAAAAAGCTTGTGCGAGCCAGACAGCCAACAAATCTGACTCAGTTAAACCAAATCTGTCAGGAGGAGTGGGCCAAAATTCCTTCAAACTATTGTGAGAAGCTTGTCGAAGGATACCCAAAACATTTGACCAAAGTTATACAGTTTAAAAGCGAAGCTAAAAAAATACCAAGGAATGTATTGAAACTTTTGACAGATCTTAGCTAAACAGATCTTTTATTCCCGGTTGCTTTGCTCACGTCCTGTCCTGTGAATATGATTATATGCGTTGACAGAGACGCAACTGTCAATCAATTCTGTGGGCGGGGAAACTACACTCCTACAGCACGTTGCGGTGAACCTCAAAATGGGAGGGATTTGGATCCTATTATTTCATCAGTAAATTCGGATAAAGAGACTTATTGTGTTTATATCACTCCTAAATGTGGACACACTATACCTACACACAGTTCTGTCCAAACTCAAAAATGATTTTTGAAATAGGTACCTTTTAAGTATTAACTTATATTTTATAGGTATTAATATCTCATGATGAACTGTTAGTGTCTGAAGAATCTAATTAATAAGACCACTACCCAAAAAGTCTATGTTGTTTTAATGCTTTAATGCATGCTAACAATACTAGAATGTTAAATACATTACATACAGATTTAATGTTAAAATGGCCTGGTATATGTCCAGCATATGGGTGATGCCTGGACATTCACTATCAGTAAAGTTCTCTTGAGGTATTACAATTTGTTTTTAATACTAAACGAAGAACTAACAAGAACTCCACTTGAATAGAAATAATTGACACTACTTGAAATGTTAAACATTATGTATATATTGATTGTTCATAGTGGATTTTTTGTATGGCTAACTTCAGGTTCCTCTTACCAGTTTCCATCGTAGTATTTTAATCCATTCATCTGCTTCGGCTCCGGATTTTGCACACAAATAAAAGGTTCTCTCAGGAAACACCAGACTACAGGAAGAAGACAAAGGAAAAACAAAAGTTTAATGAAGAATCCTCAATAAATAGTGAAGTAAAACATGAAATTGAGCGTCGGAAAATATGTGGGCAGGAGGAAGTCCATGTATAGCAGTTCCTGACTGTACTTCCTCTTTTTCTGAGCATCACTTACATTTAGGAAAATCAGATAGACCGATGTTAACTGCACAATATTTATGACTGCCATTTACGTCCTATTACATATTATGACTGTCATTACATCCTACTTATATCCTGTAATTATATCTTTGTCATTGTACAGTATACGTTTTACTTTGTTTCATTTAATTAATATTGAAAGCATCAACTTCCACTCTTCAATTCAACACATGTTTTCAGTTGCCAAAAATAGGCTGTTATTTTCTGCTTGGACAACTGCAGAAGTTTCAGATGTAAAAACAAACAGGACATCTCTCACAACACAAAAAGCCTTGCTGCATTTACACTGCAGATCAGAATGATCAATTCCGAATCTGCGACTGTATCCGATTGTTTTGATGACCTGCTTACATCTTCTTTTAAAAGTGACTCGTATCTGATTGTCTGTATTTACACAGCACACGCCAAAGATGCAATGAGCAAGAAAAACAGAGCTGGGCTTACTTACTGTTTGCTGGGTTTATTTTTTTTTATTGTTTTTGACAAGTTGTTTGACTAAAGTTTATGCGAGAAAAATTCTCATTTGGCCGTCTTCTTTTAATCTAAGCCTTTTTAAACCAGTAAGCATCTTAATGTAATGTCCATAGTGTAATTTATGCAAGTAATGTATGCAACAGTTTGTTTATATTGGTTTTGTGGCAGATGTTGCACTCTCTCGCTCTCTTTCTGCCTAAATACTTGTGCTACATGACCATATAAAAGCTTTTTTAGTCCTCGTGTATGAGATTTATGGTTTGCGACTCTGCTGAAGTCTGTTCCGAAATGAAAGCGTCAGAGTTGACGTCATTCGCTACGGTTTTTAATCTAGCGTGACTCGCATTGACAGGTGAAAATCTGATCTATCAGTGTAGAAAATCTTTGTGACGTGTAGAAAATCGTTGTGGCTGCGTGTAAATGTGAGTTATGTTTTCTTGTAGTGTTTATTTATGAAGTATTGTTTTGTATATGCAGTTTTTCCTTGCTTATTTATGGAGTTTTGTTAATTGATTTATTTGTTTGGTCTTTATGTATTTATGATTTAGAAACCAGCCTTATACCATGTGGAGAGTATGTACTGGCATTGGTAAATAAACCCCAAAGAAATGGATCTTGCTTCAAGTGTTTTGACTGACACTCCATTGTGATACTCCCCCTACGAGTCAGCATTACCTTCCTAATTTCTTACAATCTGCTTTCACTGCAGATATGAGGGCACGGATTTGATTCATATTAGATAAATTCCCACATACTGTATGAACAAGGCCTGAAACTGGTTTGAGTAAATCAGAATCCGTGTGATTTGTTTTTTGCTATGTACAGTTGAAGTCAGAGTTATTAGCCCCCCCTGAATTATTAGCCCCCCTGTTAATTTTTTTCCCGTGTGTGTGCGTGCGTGCAGGCGTGCAACTAATTTCTAATAACTGAAATAATATAATAATAATAATAATATTTTACTAGATATTTTTCAAGACACTTCAATACAGCTTAAAGTGACATTCAAAGGATTAATTAGGTTAACTAGGCAGGATTGGGTAATTAGGCAAGTTATTGTATAACGATGGTTTGTTCTGTAGACTGTCAAAAAATTAGCTTAAAAGGGATTTTTTTTACCTTAAAATGGTTAATAAAAAATTAAAAACTGCTTTTATTCTAGCCAAAATTCCACGAATGAGACTTTCTCCTATTATCAAACATACTGTGAAAATTTTCTTGCTCTGTTAAACATCATTTGAGAAATATGAAAGAGAAATTCAAAAGGGGGCTAATAATTTCTGACTTCAACTGTACATGGGCCATATCTGATCTGTGCCACATGAGTACAAAATCGGAATTGAGTCATTTGAATCATGCAGTGTAAATGCAGCCAGATAAGTGTGTTGAAGTAGAGATGGGAGTAAACTGTGCAGGGCTGCGGCCCTCCAGGAACTGAGTTTGACATCCCTGATCTATGATCCGCAGCAATGTGATAGCTTGTCTGTTTTAAGCATCTGTTTATTTCAGCAAGCAGAATCTGCAGCTTGTATTTAAAGAAGTTGAAATGGATCAATTTAAATATCCCTTTTTACACACACCTGATGCTATCAAAAGTACAATCATCAAGTAACAATAGAGTCAACTTTGTTCATTTAAAGAGTTCTTCTTCACCAGAAAATACAGCTAATTATAATTTCTCTACCAAACAAAATGAAAGCATGTTTACTAAAATTTCGCCAATCTCGGATACTCAATATGTAAAACATGATTATGGAGATAATACAGAGCTCTGATATCTCAAATGTAGGTCTATGATAAATGTCTTACCAGAAGCAGTTGACCCTCTCCTGACTGTAATCAAACTGGACAGCAGAGCACTCCGTCAGGTCCAGGGTCCGAATCGGCTCCACAAACTAAAAAGAGTTTTCTGTGAGATAAAAAATTCTTACCTAATTATAAATCTTACTTTATATAGTACATGCACCTACCATTTTGTCCTTGAAATATTTCAGTTCATATCTATTCAGTGTGAACCATCTCTGCTTCCAGTTCTGCCCAGAAAGCAAATAAAGAAGAATCCAGTCAGCTAACATGTTTATTTAGATCCAGTCTAACCCAGTCACTATTTGCCTTAATAGCTTGAAACTGGCATTCACTGCTAGACGTGATTAGAAATTATAATAACTGTCAATACACTGGATAGACCAAGATTACTCATTGATACCTTAGGGGAAAAATGACTAGGCATCACAGCACAATAAGAACAGAAGAATAATACAGTATATAGTAACACACTTATAGCACAGCTTACCTTGACAAATGCTCCTTGCTTAACCAGATAACCTTCTTTAGTTCCGAGCTGTTGACAACATAAACCCACATTAAAAAATTTCAGAAGAAGAGACAGTACTACTTAGAGATAAATACAGAGATAAATGCCACTCATTGCATGCAAATATTTGTTTTTAACCAGATATTGAGCTAATAGTTGATTTCTGATGAACGTTGTTTCGAAAGTTGAGTCTGATAAAATAGCAGCAAATAATGATGAAAATGCAGCCAGATTAAATATAAGAGAAAAATGTGTCACTTTAAAAAAAAAAAAAAAAAAAAACATCTCAACAATTAAACGAGTGTTCCAAAGGGCCACCAACCTGATTTCATCAAGTTGGACATGTTGTTGGATTAACATCTACGTTGATCCTGGAACAACATTCCCATCAGCCAATCAGAATTAAGGGATACGTTTATAGTTTAAGCTCAGGTTTATGCACTTCTACATTATTGTTATCCAACTATTATTAACTGTGATTTTGGGAATAATTTACGGTTATTGTTGGGTTTAGGGCTAGAGTTTAGGTGTGGATTACATTTTTGAACAAAAATTATGTTCCAGGATCAACGTAGATGTTAATATGCAAATATTGGAAACACATAATAGTGAAACCATTATTTCAACATGATTATATGTAGAGGAGATTAAAATAACATCAAAACATATACGTTTTTATCGTGTCAGGTTTAAGATCAATGATCTCAAATAAGAACAAATAAGAACAAATGATATTAGTAATCAGTCAATCATGAGCTTCCAGCTGTGTGTGTGTGTGTAAATAGGGAGAACCAGGAGGTGGTAGTTTGAGCATTTGATTTGTCATTTAATTATTACAGGATTTTACTGAGTTATTAATGAAAATTAAATATCCAATACATTTGATTTCTCATTTATGAATGCATTTTGATTTATTATTTGATTGTTTGAGTGTTTAATTTTATATTTTGGGTAGTTGTTTTGAAAGTTCAATTTATTTTTAGATTTTTTAGACATTTAAATTTTTCTTTTTTGTTAGGAAAACACTTTCATACATATACATAACAGTTAAATACAAATTAAGAGTCCACATGCTCTTAAGAAATAGAAGTGTTTCTATTTGTAGAGCGAATTAAGTAAATGTAATATGAAAAATTCACATTAAAAGGCTTTCTGCAGCTGTGAAAAAGATAAACATAAATGAATAAAAATCTCAAATTACATCAGCTTTATTGCAGTAGTATTTTGTTTTTGTTTTTTAATAATAATGACATCAATTTTATTATTGGTGTTACTATTATTTTTGTCGTTGTTGTTAGGTTTAGAAATACTGCAACCTTTATTTTTACAAGTGAGGTAAAGTAACAAGTTGGTAAAAACTTTTATTGGGTAAACTTGCAAAGGTTTGCTCACAAAACTGATCTTTTTAATGCAATGAAGAAAATGTTGAATTAGTAAACGTGGTAAATGTAGTTGTACAGCCATTTTTTCTGATTTTTGCCAAACAAACAAAAAAAGTCCCATGTAACTTTTTTCAAGTTGGATTTTTTTACAGTGTTTCAAGATTCAAAGGGCAACTGAGATTTTTTTTCTTTGTTCAGAACTGCTGGAATGAACAGAATGTTAAACATTCACTGTTTAGTTTTTTCACTTGCACGTTTCTGAAACATTCTTACAGTTTACCTCTGAATTGCTGAAGAGCTCATAGATTATTTAACATTCAATAAATCTTAACTAATCTAAATTATTTGGTTAATACGTCTCATCTATGGGGGTGTTGAGAAAGGAAGTTTCACAAACTAATTCTGAGAGGAGCACGTGATATGAAAGATCGCAGCTGGTCTCTCATCAACATTGGCAAACCAATCGGATTAACTCTAGCATTACTCACTTATCTTTGTTTTTTGAAGAATCCACCCATCTACCCTATCTCATTCTTTGCTTTTTTACCAGGGTGAACGCTCGAGAACTACCTGATCTCGAACCCCCTTACATGCTCATTGACCGGGCAGGAGCCCCTCTCCTAGGACAGCATGACAAACCTGCTATTATTATCAGACAATATCCATGTGTGAACTCTTGAAATAAGTTGACAGCGTTAGCTGAACTTTAGCTGAATTACAAACTTCTTTTTTTATTAATAAGCCTGGAGGTGGAGAATAATTAGTCAAAATGGTCATTAAACACCAATCACGTGTTTCTGCTGCACTCATGAATCAAATGGCCGAATTGCGTTTGTACTTTGTATTACTCTTTACAGACTGCAAAAAATGGGAAGTTGGAAGTAAATAATTTATTCATTTACTCATGAGGGAAGATCAATTGTGTAACTAAACTGTTCAAATTCATTCAACTTTTCTTTTAAATAATTAGAGAGAAGAGTTGCAGTGATCAAATAGAAAATTTGCCAAAATATATATTTAGCTCTACCCACACCTAAAAAAATCACCAGAAATAGGTGTTGTATACACAAAAAAAAAAAACTGTGCATATATGCATATTTTCCATTTAAATGAGAGAATCAACAGTTAAATCAGTTATGTCTATCCATCATTGTGAGGTTGATTGTGCCAATTGGGATGCCTTAAAGTTTTTTCTCTTTAAAGTAATGCCTTGTACCTTGTGTTTTTGTCCAATGTCCTCTTGCTTTTTATGCTTTGATTTAAAGGTGGTAATGCTGTGTTTATAAAGCTCTGATACACTTTGTAGCTGTTGGTTTTGATTTATGTCTAATAAATAAGTGAAAAATAATCATTCATATTGAAAAATAATAGAAACTCTTTGTATGTATTCTATAAGTCATATTTTAATAATCATTATTATAAGAACAAGAACAGTAATCAACAATATGTATTTTTGTCAGTACACAACAGCCCTATCCTGTTATAAATTCCTCCTTATTTTTTCAACATTTCTATAGCTTATTTAGTCTACTTTGCACATGTTTAAAAACCCTGTATCTATGAGCAGCACAATTAAACAATGTGGCAATGGTGCACAAAATAAGTCTGCCTCAACCCAACTTCCACTCCAAATTGTGTGTTAAATCTCATTTCCCAAAAGTACTAAATGATTATAGAAAAGTCAGCAGTTTTGTTGCCTCAGCACGATTGACAATGGGGTGTCTCAGCTGTTATGATAGCCATGGACCAACTTCATTTACTTTAAAGGTTTGCGTTTAAGAATGATTAGGGTTCATTCTGACTCAGCTAAACATAGGGGATTGCCATGTACTGAACTTTGAGTCTGCTAAGCTGAATAAACTTCTTCACAGAGATCTTCAAGACATCCTCATAATTTTCTTACAATACATATGCTAGATGCAGCTTGTTTCAACTTAAAATACTTGATTAAATTTAAGTTTAAGATGAGATACATTTAATGTCAAATATATCTTTTAATTGCCCTCATGCAGTCCATGGGGTCTCAAAAAGTCTTAAAATTACTTTAAAAAGGTCTTAAAAGTCTTAGGGTTCTATTTTAGTGATCTAGGCGCAAAGTCTAGTTAGCGCCACGGCACATGGTCTAACTGGGTTGTGCTTATTCTCTTAGGGCCCTATCATACACCTGGTGCAATAAGGCGCAAGACGTGTTTCCACGAAGTGTTGCTAGTTTCAGACCAAAGCAACCCTAATTTTCCTGTTTCCCGCTATGTTGTATAAATAGCAAATCTATTTCCACCACTTTGTGGACTCATGAGTGTTTCAGTCTAGAAAAGAGGTGTGTTTAGCGCATTATTGGTGCGTAGCTATTTTGAGGAATGAAAATAGACTGCTCAATAGACCAGATGAAAGCAGTTCTAAAGTCCAGCGCAGAGCACATCAGTTGTACGCCTTGCTTACACATTGCTTAATACATACAGGATGTTTGTTCACTATAAGTTGCTTTTGTAAATTCTTTTTATCATTAGTATTATTTATTATATGCATATTTATATTTGCTTAGATTTGCCCACCTGTCAGGTTTTGGACAATATGGGGCACAGGACGTGTCTTTGGATATAACTCAGTTTTTTGACCACACTTCGTTATTTTTGTCCATTTATTCGTTTGCTAGAAATAAGAACTGAATTTAGAAACAGTTTTGAAACAAATCTTTGCACTTAACAAACTAAGTTAATTATGTAGGCTAATGCATGTCTTCAGTGGAGAGCATACGATACCATTTCATTATCCACGAAAGAGAGAAAGTGAAAGTAAAGGCCAAATGAAGGAGGCTTATTTTTTATGCAATATGTTTAACTTTTTCTTCACTGTTTTAAAGTGTTCAGTTTTTCCACTTACAAAGTCTGCCATGTAAATAGCAAATGCGCCATAGAGCGACGCAATTGACTCTTAAATGAAATGGGAGATGAGACTCTGATTGGTTTATTCTCAAAACACACCAGTTATACCATGCGCGGGGCGCAGAGCATATTTTTTCCAGCATTTAAAATACCAAAAATGGATTAGGACACGCCCATAATGCTTTTGTGCCCTGCACTTTGCGCCTAGACCGTTAAAATAGAGCCCATTATGAGTTATAAGTGTGTTTTTAGCATAACATGCTTTAAACCAATTAGAGTCTCATCTCCCATTCCCTTTAAGAGTCAGTTGCGTCGTACCATGGCGCATTCGCTATTTACATAGCAGACTTTGCTAGTTGAAAAACTGAATGCTTCAGTAGCGAGAAAACAGTTAAATAGACCATCTGCAGCGCAAGGATAAAGAATGAGCCTCCTCCATTCAGCATCTTTACTTTTTCTTTCTTTTACTCCTTTACTTTCGTAAATGAGGAAACTATGTTGTACGCACTCCAATAAAGACATCCATTAGCCTACATATTTAATTTCATTTGTTAAGAGCAAAGATTTGTTTCAAAACTTAATTCAGTTTTAATTTCTAGCAAATGAATAAATGAACAATAATAACGAAGTCTGGTCAAAAAACTGAGTTATATCCAAACACACTTCCAATTCTTATGCCCCATAAGGTGACGCATACAATTCTAAAACCCAACAGGTGGACAAATCTAAACTTGTTTTTATTAAAACAAATATAAATATGCATATAATAAGTAATACTCATAATATTGATAACATCAGAATAAAAATGCTAATTTATTTATTTGTTTATTTTTAATTTTTAAACAGGAAAAGATTAAAAGATAATCGGGCCTGACTCAGCATGAATGCTGTTTTTCAGCAGGTTTAACTGCTGTTTTAATAAAAACAGACAGACATCTCATCCATCAACACAGTACAAAAATCACCAAACATATAAAATAAATAAAAGCAGGCTACTATCTCAGTGGCTACAGCGATAGTTGACCATCAGATGACGAGCATGTCATGAATAAACTGAAAAACGACCCCCGGACATGAAGGTTTTTTATTTTACAAAATAATTTTTGTAACATTTTAATCCTTTATTTTTTTTTCATAGATTTTTTTTTGTGCATTGCTATACATCCTGCGTGTATTAAGTACACACTGTGTCTGACTTTAGACAAGCTTTTAGTTGGTCAACGGTGCAGTCTATATCAGTTTCTCAAAATAGCAACGCATCAACAATGCACCTTAACACACCCATGAGTCCACAAAGTGGCACAAATGGATTTGCTATTTAAACAAAGTGGCGCTAAACAGGAAAATTAGGGTTGTGCTGATCTGAAAATAGCAACAAATCGTGCCAAACACGTCTTGCGCCTTATTGCGCTGGGTGTATAAGAGGGCCCTTAAATTCACTCATAGGTGAGTGAGGTTAGTAATTTAAACTGGCCTTTTTTCCTAAGTTCCAACAATCCATCTCAAATCTTTTAACAGAGGCAAAATGTATGAACTCTATTTACCAATATGGGTTAATTCGCTTTCTCACAATAACGTTTGTTTAACAGTTGTTTAACAATAACAGTTGAGTAACATGTATTTGTAACTACCTGGTGAGGTCACGGACATGGACAGACTGTTATGCATCGATTTAAGTTAATATAATATATAGGAAAATTATCCTAATTAAAAGTATATGTGTTTATAACTTTAGTGTGCTTGTTTAACACATTTAAAATATGTCTAAGAAATAACTACATATGATTTTTTTTAATGGGGCAAGTAAAAAACTTTTCCACAGGCCATGAGAAAAAAACTTTAAGTCTGAAATTTAATTCCAACTGGTCTTAAAGTCTTAAATCTGACTTGGTGAAATCTGCAGAAACCCTGTCATGAATACAGAAAATGCAGCTGGACTTCAACTGCAGGCTGCAGATTATTTTCTGCTGCTGATTCATGTGTATTGGTATGCTTTGAATTTGACTTACTGCTGGAGCATTAGGCACCAGGTCATTCTCATGTCGGCCAGTCTGCATGGCAGTATGCACACACACCGTCTCATAAATCGATGGCTCTTCCACTTGCCGTGGATATGGGAACCGCAGCACTATCAGATTTCCTTTGGTTGCAGGAGTGAAAAAGAAAACAAGGTCACTATGCCACTGAAAAGCAGTGCTGAGTTTGTAAATTAAAAGCGCACCACCAACCTGTCTCGCTGCCTAGCAAGGGCTGATTGGCTAGGTGACTGCAAAAATCTTGTAGGGAAGGAAATTCATTGAAGCCAAAGGAATATCTGCCAAACTGCCGGCGAACATGAAAGTGTTTCACTGAATCCTTTGCTCTGAAAAAAGCGTGGACATGAAAAACAAATCAATCTGTCACAGAGATGTGAGATGGGCTTTGTGAGTCAGCTTCCGATTTATACCTTCCACAGAGAGAGTAACAATGTCATTTTAAAGATGCAAGGCAACAGTGAGCATCACAACTGACGCTTATAAGAGAAAAGGGAACTGAAAAACTTGTAAACCAAAAAGTCTCAGAATTTAAGAGAAACGGAAAAAAGGGGGCTAAGAGAAAAAGCACATTGGTCCATCGTTTGACTTTGGTTTACTAAATAAAAGGTCAAAAGAACATGACACATCTTATGGTGACATCCTACATTGTTACAAAAAAAAAAGTTCAGATACAGTGGGTACGAAAAGTATTCAGACCCCCTTAAATTTTTCACTCTTTCTTATTTCTTATACACAGCACCCCATATTGACAGAAAAATACTGAATTGTTGACGTTTTTGCAGTTTTTTATTTTTATATTTTTACTTAGTTTTTATTGATTTTTCAGGAACATATAACCAGTGGGAACAAAACAAACAAATAAAAAAATACATCGATACATAAATATACATATGTATACACATTTATATAGGCAAATACATCCATTCCACGCATGTGTATCTATATACATACATGCATACAAATATTAAATTAACCTCATCAAAATAAATAAATACATATAAAATAAAATATAATTAGACTGCTAAACATATTTTTTAAATTGTACATAACTTCTAGAATTATGTAAATCTTCAATTATAAATAATTATATTGTTGTTGAGGAGAAAGCCAGCCATTTACTCCATTTCTTTCCAAAGGTCTCTAATTGTAATCGAAGTGCATGTGTCATTTTTTCCATATCCTTAACTTCTGCTATCATTTTGAACCATTCATCTTTAGATGGTGGCTCTTCTTTATACCATTTCTGGGTTATAGCTTTTTTACTTGTTGCCAAAAATATCTTAAATATATATTTATCTTTTTTTTTAAGATTAATCGGAGTATCTCCTAGATAAAGTACTTCAGATGATCTAGGAATACGAATATCAAAAATATCCTTGATGGCGGAGCGCACTATTTCCCAAAAACTATTCATTCTTGAGCACTGCCAGAATATATGCGCATGATGTGCCTCTTTTACCCCACAGTTCCTCCAACAAGGATGAGTAGTCCCCGTTTTTTATGATTTCATTTTTGGTGTAATAAAGAATCTAAATACATTTTTCCAACAAAACTCACGCCACATTCTTGAGCTTGTTGAGGTGTGCACATATTTTATCCCATTGGTCTTGATTCAGAATAATGCCCAATCATTTTCCCAATTTAAACTTATATAGTCTGTTGAGAGTCCTCTAGAATTAATTATTGCTCTATATATTTTAGAAATCCTTTTGACGTTTTTGCAGGTTTATTAAAAAAGAAAAACCATAATATCATATTTAGACCCTTTGCTGTGACACTCATAAATTTACCTCAGGTGCTGTCCATTTCTTCTGATCATCCTTGAAATGGTTCTATGCCTTCATTTGAGTGCAGCTGTGTTTGATTATACTGATTGGACTTAATTAGAAAAGTCACACACCTGTATACATAAGACCTTACAGCTCACAATGATTGTCAAAGCAAGTGTGAATCATGGAACTGCCAGAAGACCTCATAGACAGAATTGTAGGAAAGCATAGATCTGACCAAGGTTACATAACATTTCTGCTGCACTTAAGATTCTGAAGAGTACAGTGGCCTCATAACCCTAAATGGAAGACATTTTGGATGACCAGAGCCCTTCCTAGAGCTGGTCAAACTATCAGGGGTGAAGAGCCTTGGTGAGAGAGGTAAAGAAGAACCCAAAGATCACTATGGCTGAGCTCCAGAAATCCAATCGGGAGATGGGGGAAAGTTGTAGAAAGTCAACCATCACTGCAGTCCTGAAGAGTCAGGGCTTTATATAGAGTGTCCTGACAGAAGCCTTTCCCCTGTGCAAGAGACTTAAAAAAACACCTAAGACTCAAAGATGGGGAGAAATAAGATTATCTGGCCCGATAAGACCAATATAGACCTTTGTGGCCTTAATATTAAACAGTATGTGTAGAGCAAACTATACAGTCCCAACAACTGGTTGCAATCAAGGGAAAGATGCGGCCAGGTACAGGAATATACTGGATGAAAACCTTGGTTTACCTTCCAACAAGACATTGGATTCACAACAACTCTGTGACTGTTCTTGAATAGCCCAGCCAGAGCCCTGACTCAGGGTGCTTTCACACCTAGACTTTTGTTGTCTCGTTTGCCCAGTTAGCGCGGCCGGTTTGGCATATGTGAATCCAGCAATCGTGCTTGGCTCCGCGCCAAAACGATCGCTCTGAGATCGCCTGACTGAGGTGGTCTCGGCTCGAATAAAAAACGAACTCTGGAGCAGATTGATTGTAGTGAGAAAGCGATACGATCCGAGCCCGGCGATATCACAGTGTATTATGGATATGTAAAAGGCAGGCATAAACGGCTTTATGAACAGAGAATGATGAGTAGGGTGGGAGGTCATTCCTACCGGTAATTGTGCGTTTCATGTAAAATACGAAAGTGAAAGCATGCTGAACTATTAACCAGAGCTGTTTATGAGTTAGGAAAATAGACCGAACTGCAGTAGTTTATCTATTTCTATTTATAATGTAAAGCCTATGATGCATAAGCCAACTGCTGTGTATGAGATAATCTTACCCCTGCTCCACATTTAGTGATGGCATCTGTGGGTGTCACCATTCAAAATGAAAGCGCAGATTTTCGCTTATAACGTCTATTGCTCATCGTCATAAATTAAAATAAGGACGCATGACAGCTGAGCAGGACTCTGCTAAATGAACCTTGAAACTTTGACCAATGTGAGGAGAGTTTACTCACACGTGACTTGTTTTAGCTCTTTTGGTCCGTTTAGAAACTTTGCTGTGTGTAAGCGAACCGCACTAAGAACAAAGAGCAACATTGTAACAATTTTAATCCCTGTTTCGGAACAAATGAATCAATTCACAGGTGTGAAAGCACCTCAAACCCGTTTGAGCATCTCTGGAGAAACCCAAAATGGCTGTCCACCAACGTTTACCATCCAACCTGACAGAACTGGAGAGGATCTGCAAGAAGGAATGGCAGAGGATGCCCAAATCCAGGTGTGAAAAACTTGTTGCACCTTTCCTAAAAAGACTTGATATGTCTGTATTACATCAAAAGGGTAATTCTACCAAATACTGAGCAAAGGGTCTAATTACTATAGGACCATGTGATATTACAGTTTTTCTTTTTTAATAAATCTGCAAAAATGTCAACAATTCAGTGTTTTTCTGTCAATAAGGTGTGCTGTGTGTACATTGAGGAAAAAAATAAACTTGATTTTAGCAAATGGCTAAAATGTAACAAAAAGTGGAAAATTTAAAGGGGTCTGAATACTTTCTGTACCTACAGTATGTTTAGCTGAAGATATTACACATAGTATCCATTCAAAAATTCGCTAAGTAATTAAAAACAAAAATGTTTCAAATAATGTCTTTAATGAATGCCATTTTTGTGAATCAATTCAGGATTTATACAACAACAAAAATAAGCAGCATAAATGTTTTTCAAAATTGTTTATACACTGCAAAAAATGCTTTTCTTGCTTAGATTTTTTGTCTTATTTCTAGTCTAAATATCTAAAATTTCTTATATTAAGAAGCATTTTCTAGACAAGCAAAACAAGACAGTATGTTTTGCTTGTCTAGAAAATTCTTCTCGATTTAGGAATTGTTACATATTTGGACTAGAAACAAGACAAAAAATCTAAGTAAGAAAAGCATTTTTTGCAGTGTATGCAATGATGCTTAAAGTCTGTGGAATCTATATTCACAGTGTTTATTTTGCTAGCGCACGTTGCTATTGTTAAGATGACCGATTAATCTGTGGAAAATAAACCACAATTGTTTTTTTTGGAAATCTTCAAATAGTCTGACCATTTGCTTTCATGTTTAAAGAGGAGGTCCTTTTACTGCCACAATATTATTAACCACAACCATTAGTTTGCTACAAGGGAATGATGTGCAAAATGAAAGTCAATATCTATTTTCACTTTGATGTACTGTACATGAGGGGCACAGTGGTTAGCACTGCCACCTCACAGCAAGAAGGTCACTGGTTCGAATCCCAGCTGGACCAGTAGTCATTTCTGTGTGGACTTTGCATGTTCTTGCATGTTCCCGTAGGTTTCCTCCAGGTGCTCCGGTTTTCCCCACAGTCCAAAGACGTGCGCTACAGGTGAATTGGGTAAACAAAATTGGCCTTAGTGTATGAGTGTATGTGTGGATGCGAGAATGTGTGGGTGTCACCCCAGTTATGTAAAACATATACCAAAATAGTTGGCGGTTTTTTCCACTCTGTCGATCCCTGATAAATAAGGGACTAAGCCAAAGAATAATGAATAAATGAATGAATTAATGTACAAAAATATACTTAAATAAATCACACAGACTTCACAGACCAAACCTACATATTAGATTGCATTTCATAGCTAAATGTGTACAACAAATACAGAGACGCCACATTCAAGCTCTAATAGATACTCTAAAATCTATATTATTGTTACTGTCCTACAATTTTGACATCAGCTGTAAAATCTGGACTGGACCATCCTGCTAATCAGAGCAGGCTCACACAATTGAAAGGGTTTGGAGATAATGAATCTTCAACTGACTCATTTGAAACACTGAGAAATTTATTGATGTGAAACGGATGATATAATTCACAATTTAATGGCACTTGTAATACTCCAAAACAAAAATTAAAACCCTCTTAAAAGTATAATGTGCGACTTTATTTGCTGTAAAAGATATTTTATATTCACTAAATGATAATACAACACTTTTAATATGTTTTGCCATGTACTGTTAAGGTAAATTGAATGTATTTTGGCAGAACTTTTTCTTCATCGACTGAATTGAGGACACACAATGAAAACGTTCAAGTATATTTTGTGCATTCTGCATACTGGACTTTTGTCTCAAAGCGATTCAGCTTAGGCGACATCCAAAGAGGACACTTCTTACCGTACAGACAAGGCGAAGCAGTCAACACCCTTGTTGCTGTTTCTGAGTAAAAAATTCCCATCCACCCCATTCGAAAGGAGAAGAGCTTCAGCTGCATGCCGGGACAAATCATAATGATACCAGCTACAGAGAAAGAAAGAGAGTAGACATTTTAACATAAAACCTTGCTTTAAGGTGTTATTTATGTCGGCATCCACATAACACAATATAACATTTCTCACACACACATACTGTACATCTGCTCATCTCTCAATACATTCATAGTTTAAAACCAGAGTAATTGTGAACATGTGCCTGAATTGTCATTACATAGTTTACGTTGATGAGCAAAGAGTACAATAGTTGAAACAGAATATTTCATTTTTAACGATACAGTAAACAATAAAATATTGCATAGAAAATGAAGTATAAAAAAGTCCACATTTATACATTATTTATACCTTCATAAAACCAGAAGCAACTGCTATTCATCGGATCATTGACAATTTTAATAGTATCTTATTTTTGTCTATTTGTTTTTTTGCATTGAGAATGTAATTTTGTCTGATCTCAATTCATGTGTTCATCTCAATTACTTTAATATATATGGATGTTTTATGTATGGCTGTAAAAATAGTATTTTCCATTGAAGATGTTTATTCGATTCTCGCTGTAATACAGAATCATCCTATTCACAAATAATACATTTGTCTTTTTGTTTGTTTATTGATATGTTAATTGATTGTATATTCACATTAACTGTATGACATTGTTGGTTAATTAAATTAAATTTCAATGTAAAAATAATCGGGCGACGCAGTGGCGCAGTAGGTAGTGCTGTCACCTTACAGCAAGAAGGTCGCTGGTTCGAGCCTCGGCTGGGTCAGTTTGCATGTTCTCCCAGCGTCCTCGTGGGTTTCCTCCGGGTGCTCCGGTTTTCCCCACAGTCCAAAGACATGTGGTACAGGTGAATTGGGTAGGCTAAATTGTCCATAGTGTATGAGTGTCAATAAGTGTGTGTGGATGTTTCCCAGTGATGGGTTGCGGCTGGAAGGGCATCCGCTGCATAAAAACGTGCTAAGTTGGCGGTTCATTACACTGTGGCGACCCCGGATTAATAAAGGGACTAAGCTGAAAAAAAAATGAATGAATGATTGTAAAAATAATACTTCAATTTGCTCTTGTTTTAAGCAGAAGCACACTTCCAGTGTTGTAGAAAACATGATTTAATGTCTTCATTTTGCCTCTCAAGTAATCGTATCTTGATTTGAGGACATAAATATTTATTTTGCAAAGCAATGTACTGAAGATCTACTTTTGCCAGCCTCCGATGAGTTTGTTCTGTTTTCACTTAAAAAAAATAAGTAAATACAATAAAATGACCTATGAGTGACATTACTAAAAGTTACATTACTAAACCTATACACAGGAGCCTGAGAAAACGCTTAAAGAAGAATATTTCAGATGGCACTGGAAAAAACTATCAAAAACTCAATCTGTTTTGAAAGAACTACAGGGTGACTAGGGCGAAAGAGTGGCGCAGTAGGTAGTGCTGTTGCCTCACAGCAAGAAGGTTGCTGGGTCACTGGTTCGAACCTCGGCTCAGTTGGTGTTTCTGTGGGTTTCTCCCTGCATTAGCGTGGGTTTCCTCCGGGTGCTCCGGTTTTCCCCAAAGTTCAAACACATGTGGCACAGGTGAATTGGGTAGGCTAAATTGTGTGTTTGTGTGGATGTTTCCTAGAGATGGATTGTGGCTGGAAGGGCATTTGCTGTGTAAAAATGTGCTGGATGACTTGGCGGTTCATTCTGCTGTGGCAATCCTGGATTAATAAATGGATTAAGCTGACAAGAAAATGAATGAATGAATAAAGGGTGAGTAAATTATGGCAAATTTTTCTGTTTTAGTAATAACTAATTTACTAGGCCTAGCGGAACAGGTGAATAAATAAAAAAACATTGGTCCTGTCTTCTTTAAAGTAATAAAAAACATGATAAGATTTATTTTTATTTCATATAAAAGCGTAATGGTTTATTGCAATTTGCAGGGGGACTAAACTCGGTCCTGGAGGGCAGATTTCCTGCAGTTTAGTTCCAACCCCAATTAGACGCACCTAACCCAGCAAATCAAGCTCATGTATACTGGAAACTTCTAGGCATGTGTGCTAAAGGAAGTTGTAGCTAAACTCTGCAGGCCACCAGGACTAAGTTCTGGCAACTGGTTTATCTAATGACATAACATTTAATGTGCTTATTGTTATCACGTGGAAAGTTAGAGAAATATTTCCTCGTTCTTTCACTGACGCGAACCTCAGCAATAAACCTACTGGTGTAACTTTACTAATTGATCTTTAAAACACGACTGTGCCTTTCATGTTTTTTGTTTTCCTCGTTTTTTTCTCCACAGGTGATTCAAGCTACTTACTATAGGCTATCGAGGGATGAACCAAGGCAACATACCTAGAAAGCTACTGAAACAAATTGAGGTAAGCTGGTTTTATATTCGCACAATTGTCAGTGACAACTTATGACTCGGTCTTTATATGGTTTATCACGCTACTTTGAATATTCGGTTTGGAGCTGCATGCAAATGACTTCAAAACAACAACATAGCTTTACTGTAAACAATGTACTTTGATAATCATTGGCCGCTAATATATTGCAAAGAATACTTTTCTGAAATTATATTATTAAGTCTAAATGTGGGGATAAAAACCAACCCAATCTAAAACAAGTTCATCAAGAGGAGTTAAAATAAGTTATATATATATATATATATATATATATATATATATATATATATATATATATATATATATATATATATATATATATATATATTATGAGTTTTGGTCAGTGTTTGACAAAATAAACTAAGTTTCACCAGCTCACCTCACAGCTTCCAGCTCGTCGATGTCCTCGCTGCTCCGTGTTGAACTGACGCTCATGCTTGCTCCCCGTCCCCGTCAATGAGAGAGAGAGAGAGAATCTGCCCGTCTAATCTCCGTTCAGGTCGAAGTCAAACAGTCTGCACGTAATGTTACAGTCAAAAGCGACAGCACAGGGAAGTCAGAAAGATCCGCCCATTGACTAATGTCATTATAAAATAGGGAAGAAGCGTGAGCTGATTTGCACTTGTTTTCATGGTACACTCACCACATCTCTTAACCATTCTCCACAGATTTCAGCAACGCGGCAAATTTTTTACTTACCTCATGACAAAACATACATGCATTTAATCAACATAACTACACAGAATATTGATGATAGTTTTTTTTTTTTTTTACCCTGGAATGTTTTGAAGTACTAACATATTCACAACTTGTTACACAGACAAAAACACAATAACCATAAGCAGGTGAGACATACAGTAGCTATGATGCTCAGTGTCATTCATTCACACTACTTCTAAATACCATCATGGTGACAGACATAAAACTAATGCAATTTACTATATTTATCAACATTAGATGTAAAGCTTCAATGTGCACAACTCAAGAAACTCAAAAAACCCTAAAAAGGCATAAAAAGTGTAATACAGGGAATTCTGAGACATTTTACGGTTATTAACTGTATATATTAGGGAAACTTACTGTTACAGGCTGTGGATTTTTACCATAGCATTTTTACTTTTTAAAATCACAGACATTTTTTTTACAGTGTACACTTTATCTGCTTGTTACAGTGCTCTATCACCACAAAAGTAAACATTAACAGTGGTGGAAAGAATACTGAAAAATCATACCCAAGTAAAAATACCATTACTTGTCTAAAAATGTAGTGCAAGTAGAGTAAAAGAATCTGTTGTAAATATTACTTAAAGTATGAATAAAAAATCGACCTTTCAAAAGTACTCAAGAGTAGTGAGTTGTGAGTATTACACTGTAAAAAGAGCATTTGATGCATTTATATGTAATTTGTGAATGTGTGTGTAAACGTAACATTGTGTAGTGCATTTAGTGATTGCCCAGCAGGTACACAACGTCATAAGACAATAATAAAAGGTTAAATTTAGGTTGTGATGTCAGGTGACCAAAATTCAATGGCTAGCCAGCATCTAAGGACAACGTCATTTGCTGTTCAATAATGACATCAAATGACATTGATATTTAGTTAATTTTAGATTTAGAAACTGACCAAAATTCAACATCGAGCCAAGATCTTAAACCAACGTCATATTGACGTCAAATACTGACATTTCTTTGTCCGGTATATCAACCAAAATCCAACATCTTATTGACGTCATAGTTGTAACGTCAACATCAAGCTGTAACATCATTAGACGTTGATATTTGGTTGATTTTAGGTTGGACGTTGGACATTGACGTTGGCCTGATTGCTGGGTTCTGACAATCAATCCAACCCAATCCAATTTTCATTTTTAAACAAAATGCAATGTCTCTATGACTTTGGGGTACAACATTAATCTGACGTCATGTTGACATCTTGTGCCTGCTGGGTGTTTAAGGCCATTTCGGTCATCATGCAGTAAACATTTGTCATCTTCTCAGTGACACACATGTAAACAGTCTCTGGGTCAATGCGTGTAAAGATTTTGGACACCTTTTTGGTCACCTTTACGTTTCCAAACTGTTTGCTTCAATTAAAAAGCACCAATGTCTTGAGGTGGTTCATTATGATGCGATTTACTTGTACCTTCTATGTGCAATTAAATTGGAATTACAGGACTGATTTTTTAAATTCCCATAGACAAGAAATGTTAAAGTAATGACCGCAGGTTGAAGGAAAGTAGTGGAGTAAAAGTACTGATACAGCACTAAAAATGACCTCAAGCGAAAGTAAAAGTACACATTTTTAAAACTACTTATTAAATTACAATTCCTGAGAAAAACTACTCAATTACAGTAGTTAGAGTATTTATAGTTTGTTGTTTTACACCACTGACAATTAGACACAATACATTATTGTAAACAGTGATAAATTCCCAATTGCTAAAATCTCTGATTATCACTGAAAATCTCTAAATATCACTAAAGCGACAAGGGAAAAACTAAATAAATGCCTTAATTCAACTGTCACATTTACAGCTTAAGCTTTTTTCACACAAAGAAATACTTGAGCACGTGATCGTGGAGCAAAGAAAAAAAGTTTTAAGTGTTTATTTATTAGAAATGTAGATTTATACATCACCTTTTCATTTGGTGTAAGGCTTGTTATGATAGAACAATATTTGGCCAACATAAAACTACTTAAAAATCTGGATTCTGAGGGTTCAAATGAATAAATACATACATTAGAAAGTCACCTAAATTAAGTCTAAATTAAGATCCATTATGTACTCAACAATTATTTTTAGTAGCCTACCTTTTTAATTAGATCCTTATTAGTTATCATTTCATTAAATGGTTGTCTACCTAGCTCCTTATACATTGTATTTGTTAGATATACAAATATTAGTGCTTCAATGGTAAATATTCTGAACATAAATATTTAGTCATTTGGCTAGCAATACATTTCACATAAATAATAAAAAAATGCTATTAACTTTTACAGTATGAGGATCTGCTATTCATTGAGATATCAGTTATTCAGATTTGACTTGTATCCCAAATGTGACACTAGTACTATTGGTAGTTTTTATATACTAGTAATTATTAACTAACATTAGGTACAGTATTTGTACCTATTTAATAGCTTTAGCTTTACTTGTCTTATGTTGTGACTAGTCAGTGAAAGTTCCCTAGATCAATTAAAGATTCAATCAAATACATACACTAACCAGCCCCTTTATTTGGTACACCTGTCCAACTGCTCATTAACGCAAGTTTCTAATCAGCCAATCACATGGCAGCAACTCAATGCATTTAAGCATTGTCTAGATCAGTGGTTCTCAAACTTTTTTCATCAAGTACCGCCTCAGAAAAAATAGTCTCTCCAAGTACCACCATAATGAGCAGTATTGATTTGAAATACAGTATCATATAAGCCCAGTAAAGCAGCTAAAGCTCTGAACAGTTCAAAATGCGTCTGATTAAATGGTATTATTAAGAATATTTATTATTGTCAGCCACTTTAAACATAATAATTAGTCTGAACATTACACTGTACTGTGCTTATATTTAAAAACAAATCAACATTTAAATTAAAATGTGGTTTTAAAAGGTAAAAATGGTAGGTTACTGTTCTTAAAAAAGTAAAAAAGTGCTGTACTTAAATGTAAAATATTAACAGATAGTAGTCAATTCATCAACACCTAGAAATGTTGCCTGGACCTCAGAAATATAGGCTATATAATAATATAATAAATATTAGTATATGTCATATTCATATATAAATCATTTTTGATACATTTTGAAATATATGTAGCATGTACATATGACATTTGATTCCTCTGCGTACCACTAGTGGTACACGTACCACAGTTTGAGAACCACTGGTCTAGACGATCCGCTGTAGTTCACACCTATCATCAGAATGGGAAAGAAAGGTGATTTAAGTGACCTTGAATGCGGCATGTTTGTTGGTGCCAGATGGGCTGGTCTATGTATTGCAGAAATGGCTGCTTTTCTGAGATTTTTATGCACAACCATGTCTAGGGATGAAAATGAGAATATATTCAGTGAGCGGCAGTTTTGAAGCCGCAAATGCCTTGTTGATGCCAGAGGAGGATGACCAGACTGGTTCGAGCTGATAGAAAGGCAACAGCAACTCAAATAACCACTTGTTACAACTGAGGTATCCAGAAAAGCATCTCTGAATGCACAACACGTCCAACTTTGGGGCGGATGGGAGCAGAAGACGACACCAGGTGCCACTCCTGTTAGCTAAGAACAGGAAACTGAGGCTACAATTTGCACAGGCTCACCAAAACTGGAATAGAAGATTGGAAAAAACTTGCCTGATCTGAAGGGTCTCGATTTCTGCTGCAACATTCAGATGGTAGGGTCAGAATTTGACACAAACAACATGAAAGCATGGATTCATCCTGCCTTGTATCAACGGTTCAGACTCGTGAATGTGGTGTAAAGGTATGGAGGATATTTTCATGGCACACTTTGAGCCCATTAGCACCAACTGAGCATCGTGTCAACTCCACAGCATAGCTTAAGTAGGCTACTTCTGATGGCTACTTCCAGCAAGAAAATGCGCCATTTCATAAAGCGGGAATCATCTCTGACTTGTTTCTTGAACATGACAATGAGTTCACTGTACTGAAATGGCCTCCACAGTCAACAAATCTCAATTCAATAGAGCACCTTTGGAATGTGGTGGATTGGGAGATTCTCATGCACGTGCAGCCAACAAATCTGCAGCAACTGTGTGATGCTATCATGTCAATATGGACCAAAATCTCAGATGAAAATTTCCAGTAGCTTGTTGAATCTATGGCACGAAGGATTAGGGCAGTTCTGAAGGCAAAAGGGGGCCAACCTGGTATTAGTAAGGTGTACCTAATAAAGTGACTGGTGAGTGTATATTAAGACATGTATAGCAGGTTTGTATGTTCATACTCATCATGCACAAGTTAAGTTTTCAGTTTTGTTTTATTGCATATTTGACAAAAATGTACATGTGATGTAAAATGACTATAAATAATGTTTCCAAGTGAGTGACTTCAACTCATCTTAGATGATCATTCTGAATTAACAAATCACATTTTCAATATTCAAGCATTCACATTTTCTGCAGTAGAAATACAACTTTTTTAAAAAAGTTTATCATTCTAGCTTTTATCATCAAATACTGAACGTGTCCACTTGCAGTTATTCACTTTCAGACTGAACACAAAAATGAACATCAAGGACCTCAAATACATTCAAAATAATGTATTAGTATAAAATTAATGAAAAGTCTTGAATTCAAAGGCCTCATGGTGTCAAAGTTCTCCGTTATTAGATATTAAAACAGTAATTATGAGACTATGTTTACACATGTATTAGTGTTGAAGTGTGCAAGCTCATTTTTTAAGGCCTACGCAAGTGTGAAGCTTTTTTTTTACCCATTATTGGAGTGTTAAAGTTGGAGCTAAGTAGCCACATTATCTTGGTCACACCCTCCAAAAC